GAAATTTCCTGAATCTCTTAGTCAAAGTCACATTGCGACTGACGGTCAGTCGGTCGGTCAGTCTTGGTGTTGAGTCCCATCTGGGGCTCATGACCATATATTTATTACTGTTTGACAGTTAAGGTCTTGTTATTGTGGGACGCCCTCTCTGACGAGAGGATGGATCTGTCTTTTGTCAGAGTCATTGTTTGTAGTAGTAAGTAATTTGTCATACTGTAAAGAATATTTACATTTTACATGTTAAACATGATAATAAATGTATTAAATATATACAGAACCTCTGTCAGTCCAGGCTCAGTACAGCAGATTATGCCGTATTTCTGGTAGCTTCCGCTACAACGGCAGTCTAGTCACTTGAACGGTCGTATGCTTGACCGCCGCCAAGTTTAAGCCTCTTATACTTTCTGAGTCGGGCTTCGCCTTGTCCAATATTGCGAACACTTTCATTATCATGATTTTGTATGACTTCCTCTTGTTGCCTGCATAATTTTGTTATGTAATCACATACATACGGAAGGTTCAAAGCCATGTGCAAATCGCGAACCTGTGTGTGCCTTAGAAAATTTCCAGTGGTGCGGAGAGCCTTGTTTTGTAGGCGCTGCAATTTCACTAGACGGGTGTCTGCCGCAAACTCCCAGGCGGGACTAGCATAAGTCATTACGGATCTAATAAGAGCTTTATGGAGGGTCAGTTTAATCTTAGCGCTCAATCGCTCACTTTTGAATAGGGAATACACTCTAATGAATGTTCTGAAGGCCTTGGCTTCGATCATTTCTATGTGCATTCTCCATGCAACCTTCCTATTGAAGACTACGCCGAGATATTTTACACTGTTTACAAATGGAATATTTCTTCCATTCAGCGTAAGATGAGGCACAGGCAGACTACGACTACGAGAGAAGTGGATCCCCTCGAGTCTTATCTTCAGTAATTTTGATATTCCAGGGCTCACACCAGGTCTCCATTGAGCTGATACCGCGATGGAGTTTTCTAACAAAACACTCCTTGCCATCTGTCGCATACAGATGGGTGTCGTCTGCAAAGAGATGAAGACCGTGTGTTTGGGGGGTATCAATTATGAACATATTGAAAAGAGTAGGCGACAGGACCGAACCTTGTGGAATCCCTGCTTCCATTTCACTTGGCGTAAACATTTCTCTTTCCACTGGAACACCGGATTTCCGTGGTGATAGAAAAGATCCAGTAAGCTTAATTAAGCTGACAAGCCCGGGTGCCATGTAGTATCAAAGGCTTCTTTGATGTCCTAGAACAGTGCAACAGTAGACATTGTATTGTCGAATTTGAGCGTCACGTGGTCCGTTATCCTCATACATTGCAGTGTCGTGCTGTGATGTGCACGTAAACCAAACTGGCCTGCGTTAAACAGATGTGCTTTTGAAATATTTTCAGAATTGCTTTCTCGAATAATTTGTCTGTTGTGGACAGGAGGCTAATTGGACGTCAATTCTGAGGGAATTTTGGGTCCTTAGCATATTTTGTTGAGGGGCTATGCTACAAGCCGGAAGATCGCGGATTCATGTCCCGATGAGGTCATTGGATTTTTTTCAATTAACCTAATCCTTCCGGCTGCAATATGGCCCTGGGGTCGAGTCAGCCTCTAACAGAAATGAGTATCAGGAATTAATTAAATAATTTTCCTGGGGAGTAAAGCGCGGCCGGCGCGTAAGGCTGACAACCACACCGCCATCTTTGAGCCGATTGTCTAGATAACGTGGACCCTCAACGTCTTACAACCCAATGGGCCTTCACAGCCTGTTACAGGGATAGCTTTACTTTTTACTTTTCACCGGGTTTCGGTAAGGTTGTTACGTTTGCTTCCTTCCAAAGATTTGGAAAATGGAACAGCCGAAGGCAATGATTGAATACATGGGTCAAGTGTACCAATGATCGCCTTGGAAGGTCCCTCAGGCATTTATTTGGAATTCCATCCATTCCGCAGGCCTTTCTCAATTTCAAATAATTTATTAATTTCTGTAAGTTACATGGTCTTATCCTCTGAGGGGGGCTGCTGTACATCTTTTCGAGTAGAGCTTGAACTCTAGCCTCCACCCGCCGTTCAAGGTTCTCATCACACAGATCATGTGGGATGAACTGAATTTCCAAACAGTCGGCAATTGCGTTGGCTTTCTTGGATGGGTGAAATTTAATGTCTGCAGCACCACGAATAGCAGTTGGTGCCCTTGGTCCATCCCTCTTTAGGAGGGATTTCGCAATGGGCCTTATAGACTGAGGTGTGACTTCACTGTTACCTATTTTTGTTTCCCACCGTTCAAGTGATTTTACGGGTCATTCGCCTGATCGACTACGTGACCCAGTTGACTGCCGTTTTATATGCTGGATTCCTGGTTTCTTGCCACAATTTCGTGGCCTCTGTTTATGTTTTAACAAACGATCCACACCAGGAACATCGTTGTTTATTTTCAATTTTCGGTGATATTAATTCAGAGGCGGGTCTTTGAAACCCATTCCAATCTGTGAATTTCTCAATAGGTTCCGAAACAATCCTAATTTTTACATGTTCCAGTATGTGGAATACTATTGGTAGGTGATCTGAGTCCAAAATATCGGAGACAATAACATCTGACACTCTGATGTTTTGTGGACCACAATATCCAGCACGTCACTATATCCCGCAGGGGAATAATGCGTGGGGCATTCTTGTGCTGAAATTTCGAATTAATTGAAATAAAACAAATCCATGAGTTTCACGCCTGAAGGGTTTGAAACTCTGCTGTTCCAGAATGGGTGTTTAGCATTCAGATCACTTGCCAAAATAGATTTTCGTCAGTGATGTCAGCATCACTCCAGGCTCTGCCTGGAGATTTATAAACAGCTGCAAGCAGCACTTCGCTATTACCAATTGGTATGCAGACCCCTGTCGCTTCTACTGAAACAAGGGGTGGTAGGTCTACATGGTTATGGGGAATGACTTTTCAAACTGCAACGGCAGTTCCGTCTTTTCTGCCCGGGTGGCGGTCGGTTCGATAAAAGTGATAATTTGGAATAAAGAACCTCTCATGAGTTTTCAGATGTGTCTTTGAGAACAGGGCCACATCTACGTGTAGGTCTTGCAGCTGTTTACTGAGCTCATAGTGCTGCCTCCCAATGCCGTTCTCATTAAATGCTATGATTTTGAGGGGCCTATGAATTCTAGTGGCCATCTTGTTTCATGAGATTTAAGACAATTTTCGTAATGACCAATATTTTAGCCTCCTCTAAGACATCACCATTAAACTCTGCATAATCTGCTGTACTGCCGTTACTACTGCTTTCAACATTTTGTCCCGAGGTAAACTGTTTACATTTGGTACCCGAACTGACTGACCTGTTGTCTGCTGTTCGTGTTGGGGTAAGGACGCAGGGACCCTTGGTTACATTTTGGCGGGACCTACCACTGCTGCCTAATGTTTCTGAGGCTGCTGCTGTTCCTCTGTCTTGCCTCGGAGCGCCGCCGCGAAGGACACGCCTGGTGTGGTGAGGTTGGAAGAGAACGCCCTTCTACATCTGGGTGTCCTCTGAGACTTCTTTTTCTGCATCTTCTCCTTCCCATGTCCGCTTTTCTCCTTCCTCCAACCGGCAATTGCAGCATGTTGGAGTGGAAGTTGTATTCCTTTCTCGGGACAGTCTTTTGCAGGTGAGCGCCTCCGTACCGCAAGCAGCGGGGAGGTTGCTTGCAGTTTGCCCAGACATGGCCGATCTGCTGGCAGTTATGGCACTGCGTAAGCCCATTCTGAGCTCTATATGCCTCCACCCTGATTGCAATGTAGCATAGGCTTGAAGTCGGAAAATTTGTTTTGATTTTGCCGTCTGTTAGTCAAAGTCAAAGTCACATTCCGACTGACGGTCGGTCAGTAAATCTTGGTGTCGAGCCCCAGCATTGACGTCTGTTATATCTGTTAACTGCCGTTATATAAACTCCGCACCGACCACGCAAAAAACACAGCCACCATTGTTGAAAAGTGTTTACCGAACGATACCATAGCAACGGTCGCAGCACGGACTCCATAGAAAGCCAGTCACATGATAGCCACCTCGCTTGTGCAGTATCGCGCTGACTGTTGTCTAGCAACGAGCAATAAATATTCGCCATATTGTTGAGTGTGCTTACGCGAGATGTTTATCGCGTCGTTGCCTAGCTGTAGACGTTATAATACGATTTTCTGTGTATTCCGCAAATAATTTGTCACCTTCTGTTGAAACTCTATGTGGAACAATCCCACAAAAAGGAGTTGTATGGAAATTGTGATTTTCAATCTTACTGGCCCGTAATGGACAGAATATGCACACAGAATATTCCACACATCCCATAAACCCTTCCACATATGTTTTTTAAATTTTATATTGGTAAATATATCACTAATTTTTATTCCATTTTTATTATTTTTTAAGAAATTTTAATGGACTTCAGAAACGCCTCTGGTAATTTCTATTTATAAAAGCTTTCAGTTGTCTTATGGCTAATGTATAGTGTTAGAGAGACGCCTAAAATGCAATATTAAGGAGTATATTGACGAACTAGACATTTGCAAGAACAAAACTTTGTGTAATACGTCCCCTACCATGAAAATATTCATAATTTAAGAACTGCACATCTTTCACTCGTCACATCGACTTAGAATTACTGACAGAGATTCAGGAAAAAAGGCGCCAATTTGAAATATTAAAGCATCGAAGATTTAATTTTGTTTCTAACAAGTTAAAGTCTGATAACAAAACAAGAAGTTCTGGGAAGAACTAATCACCTACTTTCCTTTCACCACATTACTTTTTGATCCGACACGGACAGCATAGAAAACACTTCGTCCAAAAATTTTGAATGCAATGTGACATTACGACTGAAATCTGGAATAGCTGATCCAGGCAGCGGCACGGTAAACATTATTTCGCGACAATGAATACACAAACAAAAAGTTGTTAGGGCAAAACAAATAAACACAGAGATCAAAGTAATATCATGCACCTCTTTCATTTATTAAATAAGGAAAATAACAAAAATTGCTTTGAAACCTCCTGTTATTACACGTACTTTCTTTAAAATGGATTATATACTTCTGGATGTACCCGCAATGATTTCTGGGTGTGTTGACTGAAGTTTGTCTTTTTTCTTTTCATTGCCTTCTTCAGGGGGATGTCGGAATAATGTCTTCATAGAGGCCACGAACATCATCTTTAAATTCCTAACTATTCATGTCCTTTCTTCCACTTCATTCGACCCTGTATTCTCTACGCCTGTAACACAGTAGTTCAATAGTCAAAGTTCAAAATTACGAGTACTTTAAGACTGGCGGTTTGCCCCAATCAGTTCATCTTGGCGCCAAGCCTCTTGAGACTCACGATAAGATTTACTTTGCAACGGAACCCTTGCGGTCATAGTTCGTATATAACATCCTCTCTGAAGAGAGGAAGGATTTATCCCTTATGAATATACTAACACCGCTCTTTTCCAACCTGCCTTTGTTTGTATCGGCGCAGTCGGAATGGTGTTATCCCTGCTACACCTGTTTCTACCTTAGGACAGTGTATGATGGCTACTGGAAGTTGTCCTCACAGGTCAAACTAAGGAAGATCGGTATAGGTACGGGAAACTAGCTGGGTCGGTTTGCATGAGTCTCAGGGTAGCGATGCCGAAGAAAGCGTTTTTCTGAGAGTTGGGCCAATTGACGTTTATTCACCTGCTAATTCACCACTGTTAAAATAATGTATTCTTAGCTTTACGTTACCGCGTTACTATCGGCAAGCTATGTCTCGGAGCGTGCAAAGGTCACGTCCGTTCAGTTCGGAATATTGTGAAAGTCTCCCCTTTTGTGGAATGGCTTGCACCCCCACGCCGGGGAATTCGAAAGATGGTGTTGACATATACATTTTCATCCCATCTTCCGTAGGAAGCTTGAACGAGGCAACCCAATCATACTGGCCCTCATTCACAGGCAANAGCTCAATGATATCTGTATTATTACAGGCGTGGCCTGGGGACTTATGGACTGTTGCAAGTAGCACTTTACTATTACCAGTAGGTATGCAAACTCCTGTAGCTAGTGATTTAACAAGTGGAGGCAATTCCATGTGTTTGTGGGGATCGCCTTTCTTACTGCAAAGACAGTTCTGCCTTTTCTTCGTGGAAAGCGGTCAGTCTGATAAAAGTGATAGTTTTGAATTCATGCAGCTGTTTACTGATCTTACAGTGCTGCTTCCAAACGCCATGTGCATTAAATTTTATGACTGAGTGACCTATGAAATCTAGCATACCTTTTATTTCATTAAGTTAAGCAACATTTTTGTAATGACCATTATTTTGTTTTTTCTTTTTCTGACACAGCTTCACTGAGCTCTGTCATGATCTGTTTCACTACAGTGGCGACTTGTAACATATCAATATTAGCTGAACTGGGAGCCTGTAAAGACAAACTTGTTTTCTGAATTTCCTGTTGGGGCAGACGCTGCGTTATGCTTTTCTCATCTGTCTGCGGTGCCTGCGGTTGCTGGTGTGTCTTGATGCAGTGCTGCTGTGTACGACTGCTCTGTTGAGATGAACTTAGGGCCCCCATACACACACAGTTTGGCCTAGAGTTCGGCCTGCAAAGTTGAAGACTGAAAGGCAAAATTGATGTGTGTGTGGTGCGGCCGGCCGGCCAATCGTTTGGACTGTTGGCCTGTGAGAAGCCCGTCAGTCCGTCAGTTCTGCCTGCAGGACCGTAGCACGTGACGTGTGTGACTCAACATTATAGGCTGGAAGAATGTAATTGTGGCATGAAGCCTGCCGGTGTATGGGGAAGGAAAGGGAGGGGGTAAACTGTGAAAGTTTTGCCTGTAAGGTCGATCGGAAGGCCAAACTGTGTGTATGGGGTGCCTAACTCTTCAAGGCTGCTGGGAATTCCTTCTGCTGGCATGTCTAATGAAATGTGATGGATTATTGCCTTGATAGGCTTTTCAGAATTTAGATAGAAGGTAAAATAGCACAGATTATTTTTCTCCAGGTAGGATTTCATGGCTGAACACTCTGTCAGTTCTTTTGTTATGATACAGGTTCCATTTTATGTATTTTGCTAGTCATACTCTCCTTTGACATGGTCTTTAAGTTACTTTGGTGTTGAATGAGGTTTGTGGTAGAACTCATCACTATTGGTGGTGGCCTACCTGGTTTCCTGGGAGCTTCCTGCTCCAGTAGTCTCCGTGTCCATGTCGGTAGTTCTGTAACGCAGGAATCCAGCAAATTCTAGTTCCTCGGCCGATTTCCTGCAATTCTCTACATTCTCCATAATTACTCTAGCTGTCCCCATGCTAAAAATCATGTTATGTTTTCGGGTCAGTCCGTTACTTGATCATTACCCATTTTCAACCTGTTTGTTAACAGTGAACACAGTTCACAATATCCTGTTGGTATGTGCCAGGCAAATTAGTTTCAATTGATTTATGTACGTCAACATATTTAAAATACTTACTTTCGTTCAGTATGTAAAAAAATATAGTTCGTCGTTGCTTTTACAGCTTTCTGTAGTAAGGTAAAGGTAAAAAGGTAAAAACGTAAAAGTATTCCTGTAACAGACCGTATAGGTCCATAGGTATGTGAGACGCCGGGTTCCCACATTTTTTGGACAGTCGGCTCACAGATGGCGGTGGCTGTCAGTCTTACACATCGACCGGCCTTTACCTCCAGGTATATTCCTGGTACTCATTTATTACAGGCTGGGTCGATCCCAGGGTCATATTAATTAGGGAGCTATACTTCTAGTTAAGTGATTTGTTTGTTTACAGTGACGCATTATTTTCTGTTTAGAACAACATGATACTACTAATAGTCGACACCATAGCTCAAGGGGTTAGTCGCTGGCTTCCCACCGCGGCGGCCCGGGTTCGATCCCGGGTCTGGTCAAGTGGGATTTGTGGTGGACAAAGTGGAGCTGGGCAGGTTTTCTCCGAGTACTTCGGTTTCCCCTGCCAATCTTCATTCCACCGATTGCTTCACAATCGTCCTCACCTATCATCTGGGGCTGGTACAATAGACCAGAAGTGGCCGCAGTACAAGGGACTTAGTCCCACCCCACTAGCAATAAAAAAAATAGTAGACATAATCAAGCGAAGCGTTTAACATTTGTTAAGTCCTGGGCCGGGTACATATAAAAAAAAACTCCGTGATTTTAGTCCGCCAGCGAACTATACCGACTGGGGGACCGCCGCTTGTCGGCGAAGTTAGTGCCAACTTCTGCGAATATCGGGTGTCACGTGGTCAGCGCAACGAACCTCTTTAGCTGTAGCCAGGAACGCTGACAACTAGACCACAGAGGCGGTCCGGGTATATATCACATGGACTCTTTTAAGACACCACTAATTATTTTCATTTATAGCTGTTTTATGTTATTTCCATTATTATTGCAGTAATAATTTGCGGTCAGTTATGAAATTATGACGGCATGAAGTGCACTAGTCATTTGATTAAATTAATTTTGCTGATATACCTTATATATTAAAATGTAATACTGAATTACCATCGCCGATGCATAAGCAGTGTTCATTTCATAGGAAACAATAAAACGATACCTCATATCATCATATCGACCTATAAAAACGACTATGAATTCATAGTGCATGGTAGAATGTGGCGCAGCACTAATGTGACAAGGCTGCATCGAACAGACACTTATATCGACATTGCAGAAAGTGTAACCATTTCTAAATGGCTTGCCTCTTTTAAATATTTTGTGTACAGATATTGCTACGTTGCCTTCAACATTTGTTCTTTCCCTGGAGATGGTCATGTTAGGACCGAAAACTGTCGGGGTATAATAGCAACTGATCAGTAAAGAGGAACTCAATTAGATGTAATTTGAGGGCAGTCTCACAATTTATTGTAAGACTCAGCATGTTCACTTCAGACATTTCACAAATTTCTTCCTTGTAACAGAACTTATTACCGCTAGAGGGATAATGCCAATACATCAAGACATACGCGAGGTTAGAAAAATTTACATTTAGAACATAATTAACGTTTTCCTGAATAGAATTCAACGCTCTATCCTACAATTCAAGACTGAATTGCTAGTCCACCAGTCACGCTTGTAGATCCATAATTAGAGCCAACTGTGATGCTCTTTCGATTGTAGCGTAGTAGTTCTTAATCATAAGAAGAGATATTTCTGTCCCCTTTGCACTTTGGATTTACTGATTCATCGACATTGCTATTCATATCCAGTGAAACGGATGTGCTTTGGATCGAATGTGATGTGATGTACGCAAAGATTTTACGTAATTCTGGGGTCAAAGCGAAGGAACATGAGTATTACCATCTTACCGTATACTGTTACCGAACCCGCATACGTTCTAACATCCAAGTATTTTGGCCCCATTGGCGCTAGACCTCAAATTTCTCAAATAACAGACGGCACGAGCCCTTGACATTCATGCGACGAGGGCAAGGAATGGGGTCACTTAAAGCAAACGCGTGCCTTGATAAGGCCGGGTCAGCTGGGTCACCCTGTTGCGCATCTATTGGGCGAATCAAACCGGACAAATCCTGATTATTCATTGTATCTACGTAGCATGCTCTCAAATTGTGATCTGACACCAAAAGAAAGGTACAAATCAGGTTACGTTCAATGTGGCAAGAGCTACTGGAATCCTCGTCGTACAATCAAGGACAGGACAGGGTCAAAATTTTGTAACACTCTCTTTTGTCAGCAGGACAGGGCATCAAAGTATGTAATGTTTCGGTGACACTTTCTGGCTGTCACATTTGTAGAGCTGATTACAGGAAGAGTGCCGAAAATCTCGCATTTAGTGTCTTATAATATCGATATCGGAACTACAGGGAGGTTCTTATCTTCGTTGACTGGTGACTGGTTCACGGCTCTGAGCTTCACGACGACCGGTGCACCGAATTTTGCCGATGAATTAATCCGCCTGTTGGCCGATAACTTTCGGGATGAAGTAGTTACAGTTCACAGATCACAGGTAATGTTGAAAATGCTGTCCATCTACAAACAGGCATTCCTCGCACTAGCAGCAGTGGTTCCTGGTTACCCTATGAAGCTGCTCCGCAGGAAAATAAGCATTTTCCCTACGAACTTTTCCTTCTAGGTCTTCTTCCTTTTGAGGCTGCTGTTGTAAACTTTGTCCTTCAAACAACCCCGGAAGAATAAATCGCAAGGATTAAGATCGGGTGATTGTGCTGGCCAAATAGGGATTCTGATAATTCCGTTCCTGAAGTCACCAGACAAAGCCTGCAAGACATACATGCAGTGTGGGAAGTAGCTGAGTCTTGCTGAAACCTGCCTCGGAGTCTTTCTTCTTCTCTTACCTCTGGAGAGGATTGCCCGAGGAGTGAGGAGTCCAGGAGGGTTCAGCACTTGAGAGTACAAGGACGAGAATGGAGCGTGTCCTTAGTGAATTGTGAAGATTAGTTGAATACAGATTAGAACAGAGGAGTACAGAGTGATTTGAAGTGCTAGTTTCTTTTTGTGAGATCCGTTGCTAAGAGCCGGCTAGTGGAAACTGAGAATCCTAGTGCGTGTGCAACTGTGAACTGAAAATTGTGTAAATCAGCGATAGCGCTGTATTGCCTGTACTTAAGAGTGTATGTAGAGGACCATGTTAATAAATCCAATCATCCGAACTAGAACCCGTTTTTTCGTAACGCGTACCACCAAGCGCGTGGCAGTATCTTTTGCAATTAATTGTTTCGTTAAAACACACAGGTAAGAAGTCCTCCTTGCTTAGTGCTGAATAGTTACAGCCTCAAGTGCAACGCCATATTTTATAAAATGTATTAACTCTAGAAGTTTGAAAGTCCATTACTGAACGTTTCGGTCAATGTGGTTATCATCAGGTGTTAAATTTTTTGGAGAAGGAAACTGCTGTATTCTGTTGTTGCTTATGTTGTTAAACATACAGGTCCTCTCTATGTGCGTACACGTATGTGTTTGAGTTGGTGGGTTGTGTTTTCTCCTCTTGTGTGTTGTACTGCAAAACGCAACAAGACCTACAATTGGCTCGCTTTGCAGCGGAATATAACGTGACTTCTCTTTGTTTGAATTTGTTTTGAACGAGCTCATTTATACATTTGATGTTACTTTCAATAATAATTCACGTAATACAGTGCGTACAATCAAGTGCGAGCCGCGGCTGCAATTTGCCGTGAGTCATACCACCGCAGAACGGATGCAACTCCTCCCCGCGACTGCAGTGCCGTTCCCCGATAGCGTGAGTGTAGTGGTGTCGCTGAGTCTCCGTCCATCAGTTGCTCTACATGCACACATTTATAAGAATACAGTAAAAAGATAACTTACCGTGGTTTATAACAGGTGCTGAAAGTGACCTCCTTCTGCTTGCAAACATGCCGCGCATCTCACAAATAAATTACGCGACACTCTCTGCAGTTCGT